TACATTCAATTAATATTATATATTATTAATAATGTAGCGACATAACGTGATATATATTCAGAATCTTAAATGACTCGGAACCATTTTATGTACTTAACAATTTATATACAATACATATACATACACACAGAGCTTTCTTCCTGTTCTATCTTATTATAAATTAGTGAAAAAATAATGCTGCTTTGGCCATGATCTGCGCATCAGTTTAATTATCAACTACATCTTCGTTGCTAATACCTACATTTTTGAATGTGTTTCATGGTAGTCTTCAAAATAGTCAAAAAATTGTAATTATACACAGAGTTTATCATCGCGAAGTGTATACCTCTAGAAAAATCTCATCTCGAATAATGCATCGATCGTTACCACAATATAATCCTTTATTATAATCTGCCATTCATTAATAGTAATAGTAATAGATAACATTAATACTTTGATTATTATCACTGTATGAGAATAATTCATATAAAGCAAGTAGCTATTATTTAATAAATGGAATAAGTTTCCAACTTCCATTTTTTTTTCATGTCTTGATTTTTGCCAAATATGTGGTAATTATTCGGCTTTATATCATTATAAGAAATATTTAATTTATTCATTATAAAATATCAAACATCTTCGATTTTAATACAGAAATCAAGTGATTCGGCGATTACATTTGCGATCTCTTCATGTTATATCGAATAAAATGAAAGAAATTCTACTGAGGGATCCATTATAAGATATAAAAGTAGATGTGTTAATCGAATTATGTTCAAATGGAATGGCTCGGTAACACATATTCACATATATGCATATATATGCATACATATGAATTATATTATAATGTATAAATATAAATTAAGAACAGGATGATATACGCATGGAATGTGTAACTTAAATGATTTTCTGAAAATGGCTATTTATCACTTTGTTTAAATTGTAATAAACATTGTTTTACCTCAAATCAATGGAATTATCAAATTCACATCAGCTTCATATTTGGAATATGATTTTAATGCATAAGCTGACAAGCGTTATCGAGAATAATATTGTAAATCCTCTCGTATTTATCTTGCTAATTAATAATAAAATAGTTATATCATATTCTATGTATACTGTGTGACACATAAGAAATTACAAAGGCCATATAGCAGTACCGCAGAGCATTCTGACAATGTTAGTATTTCTATGCTACATTTAATATGTTTCAAGAAATTTTAGTCCAGAATTATTATTCTAGCTATTCGAAATACTACGATAAATTAATCTTAAGAAAGTGCTGTACAATGTAAATAGCTGTTTTTTGACGTCAATAAGTCTATGAGAAATATAATCTAATTATATACCTCTATAATTTAATAAATTTATTATATATTTATATTTTCCAATAAATTAATTACGTTATATTTACGTTGCAACAAATAAACAACGATCTGTACATTCAATATAAAAATTAAACCTAAGGACGGAAAACAGAAAACGCTAATCAGATATTCAATTCCCACTGTGAATAAAGTATACCGATTGGCAAAAGTATCAAGTTGCCACAGGCATTGTTGTTAATTTTCACGCTATGCGCAAAATACTAACAGTGGAATACTCTATCGTATAATTATTCGTTATTCTATTTTTTATCCAAATAGTTCCTTTAAAGTACAATGCTCGATGAGCCCAGTTGTGCAGAGCATTTTTCTGAATACAAATAAAAAAACCTTTTATTTATATCTCGGACTGTCTGGCGGGGTCGGTTGCGTGTTAACCTTCTGCTTTGGTCCAGTTTTAAAGGACATCTTTTTTACGGGTCTCGGTGAAATTCCGTGAAGCGCAGGACTCTCGGGGGTATCACTACTAAACCATACTCTGCTTCCGTCAGAAACTGGAAACAAAAGCCAGAACTAATAAAATCTCTCTTAATTGTAATTTTGTAAATTATCAATCAAAAAGTAATATAAAATTTTAGCAAGAAAATAGTTCATGTGAAAAAGGCAGAGATTAAAAAAAAAAGTAAGCATGCAGTTTGAATA